AAGGAGAGTGGAGAGAGAGAGAAGTAGAGAAGATAATGTTAGCGGTATTAATATTTCTTCGTTGCACATGTGATGAATTGGCTATCATTTAGCCAAAATGTGTCATTTTTTGTTGCAGTGGAGAAGATAAGATAAGAGAAAATAAATTTTTTTATTTTTTAAATTTTCTCTACTTGAATTAAATATTTAATTTAAAATATTAAAATTTTAATTATTGAGTTAATATTTCATCATTTTATTTAATGCATTAGTAGATGTGCACTGCTGATGGTCAAGGGGACCCATGCTCTGCCAACATGTGAAGCAAATGCTACTTTTTTGTACTGAAATGGATTAAAATGTGCAGATTGGACTGAGTATGTTTATTCAAAGAAGAGAAAAAACGCCAATTGCAGGTATAGTACAATTAAATAAATGCTAATTAAATTTTTGTGTTTTTATCCCCAAATTTCCACTCTGACATTTTTTTTCTTCCATCTTCCAGTTTCCCCAAGTGTTTGATGCTTTTTGTCAGCTCACCAAGGCCTACCCGTGCCAACCCCCTACCCCAAATGGTGCCTGTTTGAAAAAAAAAAAAATAAAAAGATTTGGGGCTAGGGATTAATGGGAGTCGCCGCCGGCAGTCTTGGGATTTTTTTCTCCTTCTTCAGTCTTTCCCTCCCGTATGGCTCTAGCAAAATTTTCAGCTTACACCTTTAAGCCTATGTTTGCATAAAAATTAGTTAGGGAAAGGAAAGGGAGGAGAGAGGAAAGAAAGAAAAGAGAGGAGAAGCGAAGGAAAAAAAAGAGTCAATATTTTGTTCGGATAGATAAAAACGAATAAAAGAAAAAAATATAATATTTTTATTTAATTAAATAATTTAATAAAAAATAAAATAAAATATTTAAAATTTATGAATTAAATAAATAATTGAAATAAAATATTTATGTACATTTATTTTTAAAAAAACTAAAATAAAAATAAATTAAGTAAGATAATTCATTCCAATTCTTTCATGGGAAATGTTATTGGGACAACCATTTTGCTTCATTTTTTTTGTACAACCTAATATATTATTAAAATGATTGATGATTGGTTCTTTTAATTTATGTTGGACTGTGATATTGAATGCATTTATTTATTTAATGATATGTGAAAGTTATATAAAAAAGTGAAATAAAAAAATTGTCCCAATAGCACCACCTTTCTTTCTTTCAAATTGAAGGAATTGAAAATAGAAAAGGGAAAAAAACTTTGTCTCCCTTCATCTCCCTCTCTCCATTAAAATTATTTATACAAACAAGAGAAAGTATTCTCTCCCCCTCTCTCTCCTTTCTTTCCCTCCAACTTTCTTAATCCAGATAGTGTGTAATTGAATTGATGATTTTTGTTGCTGTTTTGTTGATATAGGATTTCCATATCTTATCTGTTTGGATACAGAGGAGACTAATCCCACAGCATTAGGGATGTCAACGGGGCCTCGCGGGATCGGGAAGTCCCTCCTCATCCCCGTCCCCGTCCCCGCCATTTCCGCGGGGACTTTTGGCGAGGGGCAGATTTTGCCCCCCTCCCCGTTCCTCGCGGGGATCTCCATTCCCCACCAATTAATATTAAATTATAATTTTTTTTATCTTTTACATATAATTAATTAATATTCAATTATAATGAATAAAATTCTAAAAATTCAAATACAATTAACTAAAATTTTTAAATATAAAATCAAATATAAATAAAAATCAATTCAATATAAATAACTAAACCAATAATTAACAAATTTGTTCCAAACATAAACAAAGATTAATCTAAGCTAAACTAAAACATAAGTAAAAATTAAACCAACAATGGAGGGGAAGGTGAAAATAAAAATTGAGAAATGAATTAGGGTTATGGTTAAATGTAAGTAAAGGAATGAATTGGGTTAATTTTTATGGATTGGGTTGGGTTGAGTTGGGTTGGGTTGGATTAGGTAAAATTGAGTTAAGTTTAATTTTGATTGAATTGAGTTTGGGTTTATGTTTAGGTTTGGATTTTGGTTTGAATTTGAAAGATAAATTAAATTTAAAATAAAATTAATTTATATTTATTTTAATTTTTGCGGGGATGGAATCCCCACGAGGTGGGGAAAATTCCTCATAAAATTTGAAGGGGAGAAAATGCTCCATATCCCCGCCCCGGGGGAAGGAATATTCCTTCCTTCCCCGTTCTCGTGATGGGGATCCCCACGAAACCTCACAAAAATCGGGAAAAATTGCCATCCCTACAGAGCATATGGAGGACCCTACCTTAGATTTCTCAGAATCACGGGATGGGATTCCTGGCTTGGTTTTTGGGTTTTTCAGGTAAGTTCTCAACAATTCCTCTCAGAATTGGAGCTGTTCTAATATAACTTTCGAATAGAAAGTTAGAAAAAAAAAAAGAAAAGGAAAAAAAGAAAAAGGAGAGTAGAGAGAGAGAGAAGAAGAGAATATAATGTTAACGACATTAATATTTCTTCCACGCACATGTGATGAGTTGGCTATCATTTAGCCAAAATGTGTAATTTTCGTTGCAGGGGAGATGATAAGATTGACAGTGTTCTACTTTTAATTTTCCTAACTAAGTAGTCAAATTTCTACATTTTACAATTTTATTTAATGCATTATTAGATGTGAACTGCTTATGGTTAACGGGGCCCATGCAAGCTCTGCCGACTTGTGGAGCAAATCCTACATTTTTTGTACTGAAATGGATTAAGATGTGCAGACTGGGTATATTCTATAAGAGAAAAAAGGCCAATTGCAGGTACAGTACAATTAAATAAATGCTAATTAAAATTTTGTGTTTTTATCCCCCAAATCTCCACCCTTAAGAATTTTTTCTTCCGTCTCCCAACCTCTACCACCAAATTGTACCTGTTTAAAACAAAACAAAACCAAAAAAAAAAAATCCGATTTAATGGGAGTCGCCGCCGGCGCTCTTGAGATTCTTCTCTCCTTCTTCGGTCTTTCCCTCCTGTATGTTTCTCTTTTCAGCTTTTGATATTTCTCTTTTGCTTTTTTGAAAATCCATGATTAGAAAACAAAAAAAGAAAAAACCCAAAAACAGCTTCAAATCCTCTTCATTATTTCCATATTTGGATGCAGAGGAGACTGATCCCACAGCATATGGATCACCCTTAAATTGGTGCTGCGATTCCTGGCTTGCTTTTTTCAGTTAAGTTCTCAACAATTCCTCTTAGAATCAGCTTTCATTCACAAAAATGAAAAAATCGGAATTGTAAAAAACAACTGTTTTTAGTGGAGTATGGAATGTTTCCAAAAACCTCTGGAATGGATTCCTGGGTTTTGGCAGTTTACTATTCCTGGGGTTCTGGCTGTTCGCACTAGTATTTCATCTTCTTCTCTTCACACTTCACAAACCTAAGCAACAGAAACAATCTTCTCCTCACAAACCTAAGGAACAAAATCAACAATGACGATTCTTTTCCCTCTCGTTCTTTTCTCTTTTATTCTCAGTCCCACTTTTACCGTCCAAAAGGTGTATTTATTTTGTTCAAAACTCATTCTGGGTTGTCTTTCACAATGTATCCGGTTCTCTCTGAATTGAATTCTCTGTTTTTCTTGTTTTTCAGCCTTATGTAGTGTACTTGGGAGAACACACACATGGGCCAGAGCCAACCTCCCTTGAACTCAACCAAGCGACAACTTCCCATTACAAGATTCTGAGCTCTGTCGTCGGAAGGTATTGAAATTGAATTCTCTGTTTCTTTCCTTAGGAATTGAATTCTCTGTTTCTGTTTTTCCTTAGGAATTGACTTCTGATGCGGGTGCATTGAGTTCTTTTTAATGATTAGTTTTAGGGCTGTTTGTTTTGCATTAAGTTTGGTCTGAATTCAGGCCCTGCCCTTTTTCTTCGCTACTTTTATAGCCTTCTTTGCACGGCTTGCTCATTTTAAAGTTGATCATGTTAGAATTAGATTTCTTTTTTTTGGTTATTGAGTTGCATCAATAATGGGGGGAGGGAGCAAAAAAGACTTACCTAGGATGCAATCAAAAAAGAGCAGAATCTCAGTCCAGCATCTCCAGTGATTAGGCGCGAGTAGGATTCAAACCTGCAATCTTCAGGTCATGAGCCTGATGAGTTGACCAATTCCTCTACCCTGCTTCTTCCCCCCTGACTTGATCGAAAACCATGTTCCACTTGCATGTGTTCAGCACATATATATATATAACTGAAGTAGCATGATTGGAGCTTCTTCGTGCTTAGGCAACTACCTATGAGCTTCAACCTGCTCTTACTTAGATGGAAGAGAAAGTAAGCAAGAAAAGGAATCAAAACCTGTTTTATTTGGAGTCTAAGTTTTAATTTTAGGAAAGTCATGTGGATAGCATGTGACTTTTAATTAGGATTAGACTTTGTAGTTTATTAGAAGTTCAAATTATAGATAGTTAATCAAAGAACTCAAAATTAGCTTTTGAGAATAAACTTGAGGTTCAAAACCTAACTTTTCTTGGTTCCATCTTTAATTTTACGGAGTTCTTAGTTTCTATTTATTCTACCCCTATCTTCCATGCATCAAATTCTCTGCTTCTTTCCTTAGGAGATGAGATATTCCTATGATTTTACAGTTCGATGCATTGGTTTCTCTTTACTTTTGCAGTGCTGAGATTGCTAGGGACAAGATTTTTTACTCATATACTCATTCCATCAATGGTTTTGCCGCGGTCCTGGACGAGGAGGAAGCTGTGCAGTTAGCAAGTATGCACAATGCAGTTTAATTCCTGCATGCGGTTATTCTGTTTTCCTCTGTTTTTCTAGATTTTTATTCTTGTTCTGATTCAATGTAGAACGTTCGGATGTGATTTCTGTTTTTCCAAACAAGCCAAGGAAACTGCACACAACTCATTCATGGGAATTTTTGAGATTGAAAAGAGACGGGATTATTCTCTCGGAAGCAATCTGGAAGAAGGCAAGGTTTGGGAAAGACACCATCATTGGAAACCTTGATACCGGTAAATTTCAGAGTCTTTTATCCATTGGATTTCACCTTAAGTAAGAAATTTTTATTATATTCCTGCATTGTGAGTTTTTATTATACTTTGAAAACAAACTGCTTTTGGTTAGTCCACTGCTTTGGGCGGCATGTGTGTATGAATCTAACAGTCATAGGATCGATGGCAAATAGCTTTTGACCATCCAATGCTGCTTTCACTATCCTTTTAGTGTTGTTGTCTGTGAATTTAATCTTACAACTTTGATTCAGGCGTTTGGCCGGAATCAAGGAGCTTTTCGGATGAAGGGTATGGTCCCGTCCCATCAAGGTGGCGGGGAGTCTGTCAAAATGGAAATGGAGATGAATTCCATTGCAGCAGGTCCATTCTTTACACTGCACTTCTCTCACTGTACACTCACATGCCAAGTGCGCACTTACATGTCATTAGTCTAGCAAGCCATTTGTTTAGTAAACATTGTAATGAAACGAGTCCCTAAACTTCTCTTAACAGGACAAGGCCTCAACTATTAAGTTTTTAACATTTAAGGACTAAACTTTGAATATTTTTACATTTAAGGATAGGAATGTTTCATTTTTACTCTGGTGACTGTGAAAATACCCAAAAATATGTTTTCCTATAAAGGTATACAAGTTTCTTACTATAGCACGATGCTTGATTGCATGTTGCAAAACTATTGCTTTGATTTGTTTTACAAGTAAAATATTTTGCATTGCTCTTTTTATATAGACTGGAAGCTGAGCTAGAGCAATGTTGAGTGTTCATTCAATTTAGCATTAAATAGATAGAGTGCTTTAGTCATGTGTTTTTGGTGGGGACAAAGTGAATGCCTAGATTCCCCTTTTTCAATTATAAACTTAACTGTGAAAATGTATCAACATTCTTAAACTAAAAGGGCAGGACTATTAAAAATATATTGTAATGAGAAAGGGAATAGAGTTTCTTTGTTGGCACCCTTATATGTCTCACTAGTTAATAGCAAGTGTACATTTTTTGAGTTCTTATGTTACATGCAGGAAGTAGATAGGAGCAAGGTACTTTAACAGAGGTTTAGCTGCATCAGTTGGTGACCAACTAAACTCCTCGTTAACACCCTCATTATCAACTGGGAGGGACCTTGATGGCCATGTATCACACACCCTATCAACTGCTGCGAGCAACTTTGTTCCAGGAGCTAATGTTTTTGGCCATGGTAACGGGACAGCAAGTGGGGGATCGCCTGCAGCCCGTGTTGCAGCTTATAAAGTATGCTGGCCCGAAGTTGGAGACGGTGCATGCATGGATGCAGACATCCTTGCTGCCTTTGATGCTGCAATTAGTAATGGTGTTGATGTGCTCTCACTGTCAATCGGTGGGCCGCCGGCTGAGTATTTTGAGGATGGAATTGCAATTGGGTCCTTCCATGCTGTCAAGAATGGCATTACTGTGGTTGCTTCTGCTGGTAATTCTGGGCCAACACCAGGGACTGTGTCCAATGTGGCATCCTGGATATTTACAATTGGGGCTAGCACAGTTGACAGAGCGTTCACAAGTTATAGCACGCTTGGGAACAAGAAGAAGATCAAGGTACATATACTCCAGTATCCATCAAATATTCATCGTTGCACCATCCTATTAATTTGTGATGCTTCCATTTCCGTTTCCAGGGAATGAGTCTTTCTGCAACAATTCTACCGCGTAGGAAATACTATCCACTGATCACTGGTGCAAGCACTAAATTAGATGACGTCTCAGAAGTAGATGCGTATGTCATCAGTCCACAGTTTGTTTTTGGTGTTTCAGAGCATATAATCATTTTGTTTAATTATTTGTTTTGAACAATTGTGCAGCAACCTGTGTGAGCTAGATTCACTTGATCCTAGAAAGGCTAAGGGGAAGATTGTGGTGTGTCTTCAAGGGGGAGGTGGAACAACAGAGAAAGGGGTAGCGGCCTTACAAGCCGGAGCTGTTGGCATGATTCTAACAAATGACAAGGAAAGTGGGAATGAAGCTTTTCCATTTGCTCACATGCTCCCAGCTGCTGATGTCAATTTCATTGATGGTCAAACTATCTATGCCTACATCAACGCTACTAGGTAACAATCTTCTGTACTCATTGATTTGACATTTTTCAGCAAATCATTAACTGTTCCTTCATTTTATTTATGAACATTCTCAGGAAACCTACAGCAAACATCACTCCTGTAAAGACTGTATTGGGTATAAAACCGGCTCCATCTATGGCTGCATTCTCCTCCAGGGGACCTAGTTTCATAGATCCAGAAATTCTCAAGGTTAGCAACTTAGCATTGTTTAATTCAATCAATAAATTCTTGGTATTTCTTTGTATCTAGTAGTGTTTGAACCAGAAGCATGAAACTTCTTTCTTTTTTTCTTTTCCTATTGTTTCAGCCTGATATCAGTGCACCTGGGGTGGGCATCATTGCAGCTTTCAGTTTAGCAAGTTCACCAACTGGATCAAAGTTTGATAAACGCCGGATTCCATTCAACTTACTATTCGGTACTTCCATGGCTTGCCCTCATGTCTCCGGTGTTGTTGGACTTCTCAAGACACTCTACCCTCTTTGGAGTCCTGCAGCTATTAAATCTGCAATAATGACTACGGGTAACAAACTTACCTTTCTCTTCACTCTCTGTACAGAGCATCTTTCATATCAAAATACTTGCTTAGTTTTCTGAGTGTGTTTTTCATTTTTCTTTTTCAGCAAGAACACTCGATAATGAAGAGCAGCCGATGAAAGATTCTTCAACCAACGATACAGCAACTCCATTTGCGTATGGGGCAGGAGAGGTGACACCAAACCAAGCAATGGATCCTGGCCTCGTTTATGACTTGACGATTGATGATTACTTGAACTACCTCTGTGGTCGGGGATACAACACAAGCTTGCTCAAAAGGTTCACAACCAAGCCATTTGCATGTCCCAAGTCATACAGCTTATCAGACTTCAACTACCCTTCAATTTCACTTTCTGAATTGAGCGGTGAGGTGACTGTCACTCGAAGGGCAAAGAATGTTGGACATCCAGGAACATACTTTGCACGTATCAAGTCACCTACTGGAGTCTCGGTATCAGTTAAACCGGAGACATTGACATTCAAAAAAATGGGTGAAGAGAAGAAATTCGTAGTCACATTCCACCCTATGAGTAAAGTAGAGTCTA